TAAGAACACAAAAATATTTATAAAATATTTTTATGAATATTTTGTAAATATTCAAATAAATCTTATAAATAAATTTTTGTACTCTGGATGTCTCTCTCTCTCCCAACTTTTATATGTAGTATGTTTCAATATCTCACCACGGATTCCGACAGGGACACTCGATCAAATTGCGAATTGATTTCTGCCACACGTGATGCAGAACGATGTTGTGCGGTCCATGTATGGGCGCGTCTTCTGGGTGGGTGTGAATCAACATCAACGTAAATTGGATACGTCAGAGTGCCCGGCATCTTTCGTTTTTTCTTCCAGCGTCACTAATCTCGAACTCATCGACTCTGTGCATTACATTATTTTCTCATTTAGATACGTCGTATTTTACAACCGCAATGAATGTGTTCGTTCCGGGAGCGATTATTGACATTACATGTTTTATCTTTGGTTTCTGAATGGATGACATAATAGTACTTTCGGATTAATCGATCTTTGATCGATTCAAACTCACTACGGTTGAAAATGCTGTTAGATTATTTTAAACTTTCAACTACGTTGGAGAAGATTTATTAACATGCATAGTTTGTGCATACGCGTCAAGACTGCTTCGAAAATCGCATTTTCATTGTCACGTTTTAATTGTAGAAATGTACGTTATCATTTGTTTCTTTTTTACACATAAGACGTAAACATTTGTTTTATACTACATTGATTCACACTATTAAATCTTTAGCTAATAATTATTTTGAATTTTTTCAAGGAAATTGCATTCTTACGTCATTTAACGCGCCACTGTAAAAATTTCAAATAGTACAAAAATCTTTACGAGAAAATTATTTAAATCAACTACGTATCCATTGTTTTTCACAAGTTATGTAATAAATTTCCAAATGTATATACCTACATAATTATTCAAACAGACACACGAAATACAATTCTGTACAGTTGGAACGGTTACAGTTCTTATTTATATTTTATAAGTCTTATTATATATTTATTATGTATATGAGGAAAATATGTATTTATATGAAATTATAGAAACGGAAAAATATATAGCTATAATATATATATATTGTATATGTTCCTGATCGACGAAAACAGAATTTCGACAAAGTTAAAACATCCGACATTTGGATGGCGTTGAATTTATTCTTATTCGATTTAACAGTCGGTTTATTCTTAAGTCACATTGTAGCACTGATCTGTGTGCACTTGTCACGATCTTTGCGGAAAGGGAAACGAGCGTGAACGATTCGTTCGTATTCAGACACTTGATCACTAACGCGAAGCAAATGTTAAAATTTTAGATAAGGCAGTATTGTCAATCATCGAGATAACATGCCGCGACACCCAGCTGCCTATTGTACGACAATTTCGTCATTTCATGTATGTGTCGTGTTTGTGTTTGTACAGGTGGATAAGTAATCGTTAGTGTCTCTACCTGTCTCAAGTTCTAAACTTATTAGTTTTAAGCAATAAGCTTTCTAAATCTGAAATTATCACACCAAATGTACCTTGTAATACGTTCAAATCTCTTATGTAGAACGATATTCATAGTTCGTTCTTATTTTAAGACGATCTTAAATAATGTGTTAGGATGCTAATATACCTCTCTGATAGGCTTTTCAGACAACAAAAAATCTAAAATCGTAACATAAGACGTCTTAAAGATGTTTTTTAGACATCTTTAAAACGTCTTTTACATAAAACATATCTTTAAGAAATCTTACGTCTCGTTTCTGGAGATACATTTTGTCTCTATGTGATTGCACTCAAGACAATCTCAAATATAAGAATCGACTACGAATACCGGCTATAGAAAGCGTACTTCTATATTTCACTTATTAACTCTCAATATTCATAAAAGATGCTTTCCATTTAGTGATACAAATCAACACAAACGTCATTCTTTCTTGGCACTCCATGAGTAACAAAGATAGAACAATATTATGTCGATTTATGTTTCAAATGGAAAGCACTCGTACTTTCTTCTCCCCTCTTCCATCGTCTCTTATCAACTCACTTAAACTGTAATCACACTATCAGGTTTCTGGTTACGATTGCTAGTTAACGATTCTACATTTTAGCCAATCATCGTTGCAATCTAAACAGCACACAATATTTATGAAAGATTTACAAAATATTTATAAATATTTATAAGGCTTATTTTAAATATTTTGTGAATATTTTTGTGATCTTAGATTGCATAGATCATAAACATTTATTATAAATATTATGAAATATTTATTGTAAATTTATTGTAGTAAATGCTACGAAAATATTTAATAAGACATTATAGTTTAAATAAGAAATACATAACAGAAATATTTATTTATATTTATCATAAATATTCTGTGCTGTCTCGGAATTAGTCCACATTCCCTGTATGAGATTGGCTAAAATAGAACCGATAACAGGCAACTCGTAGTCTGATTACAATTTATGCAGATTGACTTTTATTTTCATTCGCAGAATTATCAGAAAGAACTTAATGAGAAAGTTAATGATACAAAGTATGCAATTTCGGCTATATTTATATTTTTTTCTCTCGTTTTCAATATCACGGTACTTAAATTATTTTATACATATTAACAATCTCATTTGTCACTTTCTAATAACTCATATATACGGTACATTTTATTCTACAGATGTATTCCTGCGAACGTTCTCAGTACGCTAGAACATTCTCAGGATGTACGGTTCTTGAGAATATCCCTTGGACATTTTTATGTTATATGGAAATATATATTAGTCTATGAAAATACATAACTTTTATATTTTACTAAATATCAGGGTTGGATAGTAACTAGTTAAAACGTTAACAGTTAAAAAAAACAGTTAAAAAGTTAATTTATAACTTAGTTAATTTTAAATGCATTAATTTTTAACTTAATTTAGTTACTTTTAAACTTTAATTTATTAACTTTTTTCAAATTAAAAATTGTTCTATCTGTCTTAATACTAATATTTTTTTTCTGTAAAGTCTTAAACATTAGAGAATTAATTTTAAAAAAGTTCAATGATTTTATGATGAGAGACTCTATAATAAGAGTCACACCATACAGTAGCCAATTTTTATTGATTCACTAGGTTTTGTCAATTCCAGCTTATATTTGAATCACACTAATTTTAATTATATTTCAGCAACATAAATATGAAATGAGATGAAGAATTGTTGTAGAACAGAGTTGCACATCCACCCATTTCCTAAATTTTTACATTGATCTTTGTAACAAATATCTAGTCGATGTAGTCGTAAACATGCATGAGCAGTCGTTTTAGAAATTAAAGAAAATTAGATAGAGGTTAAAGAGAAAGAGAAATAATGCAAACATATATTCTTCTCTTTTGCAAGATTCTACAAAACCGCCTTATAGTGTGACTCTTATTATATATAAGTAACTTACATGTGAATATAAAATTAAATTTATCTAATAATCTATATTTATAAGCGATTACTTTAAAGTAATTATAAATTAGGACATTCTGATTTCAAAAATAATTTTTTTAAAAATTAACTCTTTTTTAAACTTAAGTTAATTCAATCTTAACTTAACTTTTACTAAATTAATTCTTTATTTTTTCAACTTTTAACTTAATTTCATTAATTTTATAAGCCATTAATTTTAACTTAATTTAGTTTTAAAAAATTATTAACTTACCCAACCCTGCTAAATATAAACTCCGATTAATTAAATATACACACATAACGTAAAAACGCGTGTTCAATATAATAACAGTAAAAAAACAATAAATTACTTTTTAATTACTCTGTATATGTATAAATGTGTGCAATACAGAATAGATTTCAAGATATATTATCATCAACCTTTCGTCTGCCAATCTGAGTCTTTTTTGACGCAAAATTTCACTCTTAAATTTCCTTGAAATAAAGAAAGACAAAGTCCGGTTTTCCTTCATAAAATCTCATTAAAAAAATATACTATTTCATAATGTAATAGATATGTTGAAAAATAACCATGAATTTTTCCACATCTTTTGAAAGCCTGAAACAATAAACTTAGACTAGACGAAGGTAGTAAAAATATGATTTCACAAACGGAGAATTAAATTACAGAGATATAACAATATGCTGATTTTAGTACCGAGACAAACCACATCTACTTTGACGATACGATTTTATTGATAGTGTCAGAAAATGTATGTAGTTTCCAAATTGAAAATGGATGTACTGGCGGTAGTGTATGGACGATTTCGACGGTAACAGAAGGACCGGTATGACCTCTCTCAGGTTTCTCTCTGCTTTAGGTATTTATATTTGCTGTCGTGTTCGTTTTGTTTGGAACCACCTGCGTCCTGTCAAGTGCTGAGCATCGCCGGTCAAAACTTCGCAATGCGAAGTGAAAATCGCGATAGTGGAAAATGGGTTTCATCGAGGACACTATCGTGATTCTCGTAACACAGGTGGAAATTTGTTTCCACTACAAAAATCAGATTTATCAATACTTCCTGAACTGATTAAGGTTATAAAGAGAGTAACGGTGCTCTATACGTATATTTCGAAATAATGTGAACAATTGTTTATTTCGTTATTAACGATATTTAATAAAATATTGTCATAATATAAAATACAAATCATTTGGTTGTATTCTGAAAAGATTTCTTGTTATATTCTCAATCAGTATTAATTCCTTGCGGATTATTGTCTATGGATTTTTCTTTCTGCATATAACATATTTATGAAACTAACTGAATTGTGTGAGATGCATATATTTTTGAGATTATTATAATAAATTTTGTATTGTAAAGCTTTGCAGTTTATTTAGTAAAATATCGAATCTATATGTACGTGTGTTTCAATACGTCAATTATTTGTTTTTGGACAGATTTAATGTGAATAGAATCTCCATATGACAGATTTCATTTATTTTTGTCTCCTTTATATTTCAGGTGATTTTCTTCGTAGGAGGATGGGTGTTCTTTGTGAAGAAATTATTCAGAGATTATGAAGTTCATCATAGACTAGTTCAACTAATTTTCTCAACAACATTTTCGTTGTCATGCACCATGTTTGAATTAATTATTTTTGAAATAGCAGGAGTACTTGACTCAAGGTAAAAAAATAATTTACATTCTATTTTAAGATATGATACATTATAAAAAGAAATTTAAAATTATAACTAATAAAAGCCTACATGGATGTTAAAATGCACAATATACACGTATTTATTTATCGACTATACATTTTTAGGCCTCTTCAGGTCCTAACAATAAGCACAAAAAGATAATAAATTAGTAAATAATTGCAAATAGTAATGTGGCATTGAGCATGTTTTTTTATGTAATTTTTATTATTAAATATTTATATGTTGCACATCTACATGAGCTTTTATTAAATACCTTTCATTTAGTTCCGTTTTTGTTACTCAAAGAAATGTAAAGAAAGATAGAATAACATTTGTGTCACTAAATGGAAGGCATCTATTAGCTACTTTACTTTTCTTTTTATTGATTTATTCTCAGTTTTTCATATTTGTTTATGGTATATTGTTTTCCTCAGTTCTAGATACTTCCATTGGAATGCTGGCCTTTATATGCTTCTGTTTATGGTGATAGTCCTGATACCCTTTTATATAGCATATTTTATTATCAGCAATATCAGATTTGGTATGTATTTATATTTTAACTCTTATTTCTACAGATTATCTTCGTCAAACATTTATATTAAATCTAACAAATCTTTTAATCTGTGCAGTAAGACTGAATCTAATACGGCCATTGACAGTTGTCATATATCTTTTTTATCTCTATCTGTTTTGGAAAGTGGGTGATCCTTTCCCCATACTGAGTCCCAAGAAAGGACTGCTATCTATAGAACAAGGTGTCAGTCGAATAGGTGTTATAGGTGTCACAGTAATGGCTCTTCTATCAGGTTTTGGCGCTGTAAATTATCCATATACTTCAATGACTTATTTTATGCGCCCAGTTTCTTACACGGATGTACAGTCTATAGAAAAACGATTGTTGCAAACTATGGACATGATTATCGCGAAAAAGAAACGAATTGCGTTAGCCAGAAAGGGTGAAGCTGATGGACAAACCGAAACTCGATCTCGATTATGGGGAATGTTAAATCCATTAGGTGGTACAAAGGGAAATCAAGAAAGTATATATTTTCTTTAATTTTATAAAGAAGTTACGAATACGATTTATCCTAATAACACAATACATATCGTTTTATAGGTGTCAAGCAATTACAAATCGAAGTTATCGCTTTAGAGGAATTATCACGACAATTATTTTTGGAAGCGCATGACATACAAAATGCAAGAGAACGTCTAGAGTGGGCTGCCACTTGGCAAGGAAAATATTTTAATTTCTTGGGTTATTTCTTTTCTCTGTATTGTACATGGAAGATATTTATTGTAAGTGTAATTAGTTAATGATTTAAATTATCTTTTTTGAGAAAATAATACATAACATATTTCTATAGTCTACAATCAACATAGTATTCGATCGAGTCGGCAAAAAAGATCCTGTAACTAGAGGAATTGAAATTGCAGTGCATTGGATTGGTTTCAATATCGATGTTACGTTTTGGTCGCAACACATTTCTTTTTATCTCGTCGGTTGCATTGTTGTAACGTCCATACGTGGATTATTGTTAACTTTGACAAAGGTATGTAAAATATATATATAACAATTATATACCTCTTATATAGTATAATTCTGCACTTTTTAATTTCTATAAAATGACTTACATGTATGTACTATCTATCTTATACAGTAAAACTTTCTAATATTATATAAAACAAGATACATATGTAAATACAAAGTAAAAAACATGAATATTAATTAATGTTTTGTTGCCTCATCAATTTTAATAACAATACTCACTATCAACTTTTCTATTTTAGTTTTTCTATGCCATATCTAGCAGCAAGTCATCAAATATTATTGTACTTATTCTTGCGCAAATAATGGTAAGGCTAGTCTATATAATGTAAGACATGTAATTCTTATATAGAGTTTATTCATATTCCAAATTTCATGGTATTCTCTTTTTTCAGGGAATGTATTTTGTATCTTCTGTACTTCTTATGCGGATGAATATGCCAGCAGAATATCGAATTATAATAACGCAAGTACTAGGAGAATTACAGTTCAATTTTTATCATAGATGGTTTGACGTTATTTTCTTGGTATCAGCGTTATCATCAATAGTGTTTTTATATTTAGCTCATAAACATGCACCAACGGAACGCATATAACGAAATAAAGATACTTTTTATTGAGAGAAATCTTTTCAGCCTTCTTTTATGAAGTAATTTATTTAAAATCTACATTTGATATATTTTGATAGATAAATTATTATTAAAATATGTTCATTCCTGGCAGAGAGAATAATGAAACTTTAAATGTATATATTTTTAATAGTGTTAGTTATATTTTTAAATTATTATACATAAATGCAGTCGACAATAACATTTTTTATTATGATGTGTGTAGCCTGAAATGTTAATTTGTATTTTTAATTTTTTTATTAAATCAAAATAAAATAACTAAATTATAGAAGATTGTATCTGTACTTTAAAAATGTTATACTGTTTATACAATTGATTAATCTCAGGAAGCAATTGGCATCATTTTATTGTTACAATAACTAAATTGTATATTTGTTCTAAGAAACAATCATCCAGATCACAGATAACTGAATAGTAATAGAAAATTGGCATTATGGTATGGATACTGAGTTGATTATGGATAATGAACCCATAACTCTAATGTAATAATTCGATGGTCCATTCCTCGCCCATATTTACAGCTGGTTTACGTATCGTTAATACATTGTTATGTGGGTTATATGTAGTTTCCAATGTTACTTTTCCCATACCTGTAAGATAAATATATATTATTAAAATATAGATTTGTTGCACGACTGATTTTACTTCACACTTGAATCTAACTACTCACTGTGAGATTCCAATTGGGCAGATTTAATTCCTTGTGGTGGATTGGCTATATCTATTCTTTCTAACCAGCTTTGTGTTTCATATGAAGCTAGTTTATCAATTAGAGTTGATGCTATTTTATTACTGTCCAACGTTATTCTTAAATATAAATATTTTCCATGACGATATTCAAAGCTGACTTCGTCATCAATGTATAGGTTGCCGCTAGCTCTGCCATTACTATCGGCAATTATTATCAACGTGTAAGGATCATTTCTCATGGCAACTGTACTACGTCGTATTCTCATTTTTCGAGGGACGACAGATCCACTTCTTTGGAATACAGGGATCTTGTGAATTGTTACCGGTATTTTAATATGTCCTTTTTCGTAGGCTTGCATTGTATCAATATCATACCAAGTTATTTTGCCCTCTCCTGGGAAATAAACTGCTACTTCAGTAGCACTGGATTGGAATACTGGGCGCACGAGTATTGAATCGCCAAGTAACAACTCATCATCGATAGCGAACGTTTCAGATTCAGTTGGATAATGCGTCCATAAAGGACGTATAACGGGATAACCGTTTATTTCATGTTCTCTAAAGAGTGTGTACCATAATGGCAGATAAGAGTATCGTAATCTTAATGCTTCACGAACTATTTGAGTAGTTTCGTCATTGAATGTCCATGGCTCACGCCTCTTTGTTTCAATATGAGAATGCTGGCGGAAGAAAGGTAACCAAGTTGCAGCTTGATTCCATCTAATAAACAATTCTGAATCTGGATTCGAGAAGAAGCCTCCAACATCGACACCACAGAACGACATTCCAGATATAGCCATTGAGAGACACATGGGATAACTTACACGAAGGTGACTCCAGTCAGCCATATTATCGCCAGTCCACATTGCTGCATAACGTTGTGATCCAGCAAAGAAGGCTCTTGTTAAAACAAATGGTCTCAGAGAACCGCCTGATCGACGGAATAAAGCATCAT